TGATTAATCATATGGTATACAAATCTCTGAAAATTATTTCCAGTTACAGTCGAGACTGCCTTAGCGACCCCCTGATTTAAACGACTCCCTGTCTTATCCGACCTTGTTTCAGTACTCCCAACGTATTTTCCTATAAAAATGGTCTGAATTAAACGACTCCCTGTCATATGTGACAAGCGACCCTAATTGTCTGGTCCCAATGCAATGTTTTGTCTGATTTAAACGACTTTCACACCTTTTAATTGTCCGTTAATCAGATAAATAATACCTATTTTAACACCCAGGGGGCCAAAATAATTAAGTCCAATTATAATCCAGTAGCAAACAAAGTCTACACACCTCTGTCTCAATTACACAGTTAACATGTATACAGGTATCGAGTGACGTCACTAAGCGTCTGTTAATGGGAAGCATCATGGTGTGTAATGTACATATAATGACCTGAGTAAACTGGATTAAGCTTGTGTCAGATTTTTTTTTTTTAATAAGAGAGTGCCAACGGAAGATATTTTAGACAGCATTTTTAGCTCGACTATTCGATAAGAATAAGTAGAGCTATTGTAGTCACCCGAGCGTCGGCGTCGGCGTCGGCGTTGGTGTCCGCGTCGGCGTAACCACTTATGTTAAAGTTTTTGTAATAGTTCAAATATTTTCAAAGTCCATTGACATATGGCTTTGAAACTTGGCACACTTGTTCACCATCATGACCCCAACCTGTAGACAGGAGGAGGTAACTGTATCAAGCATTTTGACAGAATTATGCCCCTTTTTCGACTTAGAATTTACGTTAAAGTTTTTGTAATACCTCAAATATTTTCAAAGTCCATTGACATATGGCTTTGAAACTTTGCACACTTGTTCACCATCATGACCCCAACCTGTAGACAGGAGGAGGTAACTGTATCAAGCATTTTGACAGAATAATGCCCCTTTTTCGACTTAGAATTTACGTTAAAGTTTTTGTAATAGTTCAAATATTTTCAAAGTCCATTGACATATGGCTTTGAAACTTGGCACACTTGTTCACCATCATGACCCCAACCTGTAGACAGGAGGAGGTAACTGTATCAAGCATTTTGACAGAATTATGCCCCTTTTTCGACTTAGAATTTACGTTAAAGTTTTTGTAATAGTTCAAATATTTTCAAAGTCCATTGACATATGGCTTTGAAACTTTGCACACTTGTTCACCATCATGACCCCAACCTGTAAACAGGAGGAGGTAACTGTATCAAGCATTTTGACAAAATTATGCCCCTTTTTCGACTTAGAATTTACGTTAAAGTTTTTGTAATAGTTCAAATATTTTCAAAGTCCATTGACATATGGCTTTGAAACTTTGCACACTTGTTCACCATCATTACCCCAACCTGTAAACAGGAGGAGGTAATTGTATCAAGCATTTTTGTTTACTATCAAGCACTAAGAATAGTCGAGCGTTGCTGTCCTACCGACAGCTCTTGTTTTAATTTACCTTTACTGGCTGCATAATTAATACGGAAAAAATATGGATACCAAACCAGAAAATTTGGATATGGATATGTTTAACTTTTACAAGTACATGGATGCATCAAATTCCAGTTAATTTATACAAAAAAGATTCAATTTAAATCTTAATACAAAAAATAAAATTAAATTTTGTGTGATAAACATGCTAATATATAGTTGTTTTACATGGATTCTTATTTTATTTACATTAAAAATTTACGATTACCTATGTTTATTTGCAATTGGTTAGATATTATTCCTTCACACAGTTATGTATGTTAAGTCACAATGGTATATAGACAGATAGATGGTATTTAAATTTAATTTTCTTTGAGACTGTATTTAGAGACTCCCTGTCATATGTGACCTTTTTCTGAAGATCCCTTGGAAAGTCGCATATGACAGTCTCGACTGTATATTATGCCAATAAACTTCAGTGGAGTCTCAGGTTTAATTTTGTCTGTAAAGTTATAATGTTACAATTATCTGATCAATTAAGTTATTTAAGCTTGTTTGCATACTAAGCAATTTACCATATAGCCTGTTAGTGGCAAGTGAATATACACATGCAAACAGTGCCGACCTGAAGATCAGCTGAGACGTCTTTGATCATGGTCTGCACTGTTTGATATTCAGTTACTTACTCATTTTGAAATTTCATTTGGAATATTTCCTAGAAATGATGAATGGTTTTGTCTAGACTGAAAGATGGACAATTCTATTTGAGATATTTAGCATTGTAACAGTTAATGTCCTTAATAGGGCCTCTACCACACTTTTAATGTACTATATTAAGATCTGGTGTTGGTAACTGTCTTATTTTTTTTTTGCTTTGTTTGAACCTCTTATTGCTCTAGTCATGGCATAATTATTTTTATATTAATTTTGTTGCAATTTTGATCCCGCATTTATAATAATGAATTTTGATATTTTAATTAGATATTTAATTGGAGCATCAATTTAATAAGGCCCAATTTCCAATTATTGCTCTTTTCAGATTCAAAAGAGTTGGAGAAATATAGAAATATTGTTCATTTGTATTAAAAGTCAGATTTAATTATGTTCTTTGTTAAATTACGTTCAATCCATTATTTAAAATTTGGAAAAACATGTTATAAATAAATGCATTAAATAACTAAACCTTTTCACTTGTGGAAACATTTTCCAATTTCAATGATTGTTATCTAATTTTATTTGTTACATGATGTTCCAATATGTCCTACATGATGATAAAAAAAGTCCCTGTTTCATGTATATGAAAACTGACAGCATACTAATGTATTAAAATTGATACTCAATTGCAATTTTGTAGTGGCAGCATGGCTAATTGGTAAACGAGTCAGACTACTACCTGTAAGACAACTACCATCTACCATTAATCTAAGGATTATGAGTTCAAACCGCATCAGAGGCAAGCCTTTGTTTCCATTAGCAAAAAACTTTACACTCGTACCTAAGTACTGGTTTGTTCCAGGGATGGATTTGAGAGTGCTTCAATACACCTATAGCTTCTGTTACTCAGTCAGACTGGAACACATTTGTATCAACTGAAATACATTTAAAAAATTGATTTATTAGCAGTCAAAGTGGCATTAAATAATCAAGACAAGAGGGGCTTTTACGTATGCCTTTTATTTCTCTGCCAATATAGTGACAAATAACAATCACACAGTTCTCTGACATTCCTCAATAACAGATAATCCAGTTATATCAAATTGAGAATACAACATTATCATGAACACATAATAAACACTACTGTACTTTTATTTTCTATAAAGCAGAAAGGAGCAAAATGAATGATAGTAAACTGTTGGTATTAGAGATAAATACATTTGACACTGCATCAACACCAAACTTTTTAAAAGATGTTAAGTAATGTCAAATACAGAAGCTCATTATGCATTTATACACCAAAGCTCATATGCATTTAGACAGATGATGATGTTAAATCAAATTACAAATTGACAAAAGGCGCAAATTTATAGCTATTTAGCCAAGTCAAACAAAAAACGCAAGAAAAATAACAAGCAAAACAAAAGGATTAATTTAGATAAAAAAACAAACAATAAATACACAGCAGGTGAGGCAGGAAAATTTTCAATCAAAGTGTCTTATACAAAATTAATGTCAAACAAAAACTGGGACAAAAGTAGATCATGAAAAGTGCATGAGTGTGAAAAAGGCAACACTTCACTAAACAAAGATAGGTAACAGATGGAAACCAAAATATTTGTCCTACAAAAAAGGAGAAGAAACTCCGACAAATGAAAATAAGAACAAATATTTGAAATACAGATTCAGAATCTATAATAAAAATACACTTTACCAAACTTTAAATATTTCTGCCAAAATAAATTTGAACTTTGATATCAGCTGAATTTGATGAAAATTTGGAGCTATTGTCATGACCCACTTATCTGTGCAAATGTCTGGTCATAATAAAAAGGTCAAGGTCTCTGGGATCAGGACTAACAAAACAAATCTGGTGATGATAAATCAAAATGCAGCATCAACTTCAAATTGTGTATGTAATGTACCCTTATGAGTTATACTTGACATATACCTTATTTAGGTCAAAAGGTCAATGTCATTGGAACATTTTATAGAAACAACTTATAAAACTGTCCATTAAATCAGTGCACTGCTGAGGAACTTCAAACTTTGAATGGTGGTGTAGATGTACCTTGACATTGAGTTTTACCTGCCACACTCATATTTAGGTCACAAGGTTTAAGGTCAAGGTCCACTGGGACCTATAATAACATAGCGTTTCATTTCTTTAAGATTATTGAGAAAATTTAGAACAGAACTAAGTTAAGATAAAAAAAATTTGCATTTCAACCTCAAACAAAAAATATGAAAAAAACAGTGTGTAAGAAACACATCTTCTGATTGCAAAATGATTCACAGGTTGAAATTTGTATAAGCGTATGTCACAGATTGAGAAAAATGTGCAGCCCAAACCGGGACTCAAACCCAGGACCCTCAGACTATCGTATCGCAGCTCTACCGACTGAGCTATCTGGCTGCTTACACATCTTCTCCCTTAAATAGTGAACAGTTCTGAACTGTGACATACTCCCCTGCTATATTGAAATTCATCCTCGAGTTACAGAGCAATGTCAATTAAACTCTGAGCTATATCAGTCAATTGGTCCCAAGTTGGGCCCAAAATGTCACAGGGGGAGAAAAATGTGCAGCCCATCCGGGACTCGAACCTGGGACCCTCAGAAGACTGTACCGCGGCTCTACCGACTGACTTATCCGGCCGCTTACACATCTTTTCACCTAAATAGTGAACAGTTCTGAACCGTGACACATACAAAGGTGTTTGTACCTTTACACATTGAATTGTTCAGACTTGCAATAAATGCTAATAAAGTGATTAGGTAAAAACATCAATTAATCAAGTAAATCATTTTATTTTTGGTTACAATTGTTTTGTTTGCAATGAAAGGGTTGAACTCGTTCATGTATATTTTATTCTAGTTTCTTTCATTTATTGATTTCAGGTTGATGTACCTTGTTATATTCAGGAACTTGACTACCCCTGTATACATGATGGTGAGTAAATCTAATCTATAATTACACTAGTTTTTAGCTCACCTGTCACAGAGTGGCAAGGTGTCAGTTTTTGTGATCACAATTCATCCTGCATCAGTCCATCTGTCATCCATCCGTAAACTTTTACTTTAAACAACAACTTCACATAAACACTAAGCCAATGTCATCCAAATTTCACAGGAATGTTCCTTTGGTGGTGAAAATCTGATTTTGACTTGTTCGTTTTTATGTGAAACATTTTTAGCTCACCTGTCACAAAGTGACAGGGTGAGCTTTTGTGATCGCTTTTCGTCCGGCGTCCGTCCGTCCGTCCGTCGTCCGTCCATCCGTAAACTTTTGCTTTAAATGACATCTCCTCATAAACCACTAGGCCAATTTCATCCAAACTTCACAGGAATGTTCCTTTGGTGGTCACCTTTAAAAATTGTTCAAAGAATTTAATTCCATGCAGAACTCTGGTTGCCATGGCAACCGAAAGAAAAAACTTTAAATATCTTCTTTTAAAAAACCATAAGAGCTAGAGCTTAGATATTTGGCATGAAACATCTTCTAGTGAGTGTCTACCAAGGTTGTTCAAATAAAAGTCCTGGGGTCAAAATTGGCCTCGCCCCAGGGGGGCATTGATTTTCCCTATATGCATATAGTAAAAACTTAAAAAATTTTCTTTTAAAGAACCCAAAGAACTAGAGCTTAGATATTTGACATGAAACATTTTCTGGTGAGTGTCTACCAAGTTTGTTCAAATAAAAGTCCTGGGGTCAAGATTGATTTTCCTTATCTGTACATAGTAAAATATCACGTAAAATCTTTGACACATTGAAAATTTGACACATTAAAATTGAACTCATAAAATAGGTTTTAATAAAGAATATACAAAGGTAAAAATGAGAACTATCATTTTATTTTGAGCCATCAAGAAAACTGACTTATCCAAGTTCAACACAGAAGTTCTACTGTTTATATCTTACATAAAATTATAAGAATTTTGAGGTTCCATCATTGTCTAATAAGGAAATAAAATGATTACTAATTGAAAGAAAAAATAAGTATAGTTTAAGGCATAAATTATTACGACATCGTGATATAGGTTAGATTTAAATTTTAACATCTGACTCCTTTTCTGTTCATTGAAAATATAAATCATAAGAAATAGTTTCATCATTTTTGCAAAAGTTAAAATAATTTGCCCCTTTATAAATACATTAAATTATCCCCCATTTAATTAACATTTTTTAATTTAATTGAATTTTCTACAAAGGAAATAGACATAAACAAGAAAATTTAATTAGTTTGCAGTTTATGAATGAAACAGTTGGAATTTTATAATATAATTAAAAGCACAGTCATATTTGCAGGGATATGTACTGAAAGGAACTCCACTGAGGTTTTGTGACATCAAGCCTGGAAATAATTTTTGAGATTTATAGGTCAATCTATACCAATAACTTGTGTGCAAATCATTAACCCACTCTATGTTCTCATGATAGAACAGACGTTCTTGCATGTCAGACAGGAAAATATACTGTTTACACCGCTGCTAGAAAACCCTGTCTTACACCTCCATGTGAGACAAGTCGCGTGCTTTTAAATGACGTCATTTCCATGCGCCTTTTATGAATGAATTGTGTTCTTAGGATGACGTCACTTAATCGTTATGAATGAAATTGTAAGTTCATACGTTACTATAAGAAAGAAAAATGCGTAATGAAAATATTAGTTTTTGTTATTTCTGTTCTGTAAATAATTGATATGTAATATGCAAGAAAAAAATCAAACACTGGCTGTTGGTGCAGACGGACATATCTAACTCTCGGGTAACTGTTTAGTGGAAACTCGGCAGAGCCTCATTAAAAAAAGTAACCGCCGTAAACAGTCACCCTCAAGCTAGATATTCCGGTCTGTACCGGCAGCCGGTGTTTGATTCTTTTTACTCCAAATTGAATTAATGAGAATAAAGAGATAAAAAAAAGGAGTCAATGCTGAATTAGATTGAACTGAATTTACAATAAAAATTCAACAAAAAAATAAACTCATCAAATTTCATTTAAGAATGTTAACTCAGATAATGTGTCTTTATTGCAGAGCCTGGAGAATGTCAAATAAAGTGTTTAAAATTCTGGGGGTTTTTTTGGAGTTCAAAACTTACAATTCATAATAAATGGAAACATCTGTACACAAGAAAAATATTACATACATTTGTATGTAATATAGGTACGATTGCATACTACTTTTTGTGAAGACTTTATGTTTGCTGAATTAAAGGTGTAATGTAAAATGAACAAACATGTCATGAGATATTTTATATCTTTAAACATTTTCATGGAATGTAATTAATGCATCACCATATTAAAGTTGCATACCTTCAGATGAAAAAAATGATTTCAAGGAAATCAAAATATGAAAAGAAAATTCACGGTCAATTGACTGCTTTGAAGCATAATCACAAAATAAAATTACAGGAAATTAAAAACCTACATAATACACTTAAGGTAGAATTTCATTGTAAATCATAGTCAAAGATTTGAGATATGATTATTTATTCATATTAACCTCATTATTGGTTATATATTGATAAAAAAAACGAAAGACACAGTTTGTAGATATTTATTACAATAAAATATGAAAAATGTATACACGCCGAGGTTAGCTATAATTAAAATTCCCGCGCTAATTCGCGGTGGTGCTTGGGATAATCACTTGGTACTGTAAATGGCAGCCATTTTACGATACGAATCCTCGAAAAGTTTTTTCTGCCGAAAGATATGAAAAAATACTTGCAATTCAAAGTTTGCTGGCTACATAAAGATTATCGATTTACTCTTTGCACACTTTTTCTCTGCCTGAATATAATAATATTGACGTGTTTTCATTGGCTTAAACCATCACGTTACAAATACACATGTAGGTGTGAACGAATTTCGTGTTCATTAAAATTATTCCGTTAATAGACATATAACAATCTTATTTACAAATGAATTGATAAAACAACAGTCCCAGAAGCATTTAAGATAATAGCAATCATTGGAAAAAAATAAATGCATATAAATTGTAAATTTGTGTATGACAACTCAACCCCCTAAACAAAACATAATAGACTCAACCAAAACAAGCGCCTGCTTCTTCATCTAACTATGTAGTTGCATGACCATGATTAGCAATTTAGCGAACCAAATCTAAGAGATAAACCTATTGTAAAAATAATACTATGACCACAGCAGATTTCAAACAGAAAAATCATAATAATGAATAAAATTTTAACCTTCAATTTTATACAAAATATTATTGTTATTTACTAGCTGTGATCATTGTGCTAAAAATAATTTAAAAAAAAAATTCAACTTTTGATGAAAATTTATAAATACAAAATGAAATTGCAACTCTCTCATATGCCAGTCATTCAAAATAAAATAATACCACATGAAAATCATTCAAAATAAAATAATACCACCTCAAAAAATACTGCCTGCAAATTATACACAAGGAATTTATATCGCCTGAAAATCATACAAAATAAAATAATACCACCTGAAAATCATACAAAAGAAAATAATACCACATGAAAATCATACAAAATAAAATAATACCGCCTGCAAATCATACAAAAGAAAATAATACCACATGAAAATCATACAAAAGAAAATAATACCACATGAAAATCATACAAAATAAAATAATACCACCTGAAAAAATACTGCCTGCAAATCATACACAATGAATTAATACCACCTGAAAATCATACAAAATCAAATAATACCACCTAAAAATCATACAAAATAAATAATACCACCTAAAAATCATACAAAATAAATAATACCACCTAAAAATCATACAAAATAAATAATACCACCTGAAAATCATACAAAATAAAATAATACCACCTGAAAATCATACAAAATAAAATAATACCACCTGAAAATCATACAAATGAAATAATACAGCCTGCAATTCATGCAAAAAATAATAGCATCTCTAGAAAAACTTATAAAATGCATAATTAAAATCCAAGCCCACAGAGTTTGCAGGAACAAAAAAATGGTGCTTAAGAATTGTTCTTTTGGTCAGGTTTTACGTAGCTCCAACAAACTTACAAAGTAGAGGTCATAATTATGGTGACTTTCCAGTTTTACTGGTGGAGGAAGACCTCAGAGTAGAACTACCAATGTTCCGTAAGCTAGCCAAAGAAAGCCTCGGGCTCCTCACAGGAAAGAATCCAAAGTCCCTGGCAGAATTCAAACCTACAGTGGTGAGGTGCAAGTCGTTTGAAGGACATGAACCACTCGGCCTTGGATGCCTCATAAATGTATAAATTGTGCATTTTCAATATCTGTTTTTCATGTAAAGAATCCGGTTTGCTTACGCTTTGTTTGTGCCATTGTGACAACAATTTGACAGTTATGTTTTGATGAGGAATTTAAGTGGGGTCATCATTGCAGTCGGTTGTTTTTTCATATGGCGCCCTGAGTCAGGCATATTAAAAAAACATGTAACAGTGGCATTTGCTCATGTGATCTCATCAGGTTCAAGGCATGATTTATTCTCTGTTAATGTACACCTGGGTATGCAGATTATAATCATTTTATGCATTGAGACAAGGTTTTAATGCACCTGTCAACAAGCAGTGATATACTTGCCACGTGTATAAAACCAGGTCAGACTAAAAAGGCACTGTTACGCCTATTTAATCTAGGACAACCTTTTTCATAATTGAAATTCCATAAATAAACAGTAATAAACAGTAGACAACTTCAGAGTATAAAGGAAGACAAATTTGTTACACATTTAAGTGATCAGAGAATGAAAAAATAATATTCGTAGAAGCCTTATCTCTTAGTAAAATCTAAGCTTGAAAGATTAGTGATTTTGTGCGGCTTCTTATCAATTTATACTATATGTTTACTAATCTAAGTACACTTATACTTTTCTTGTATCCGGAGCATATTTACGTCACTAGTAATTTCTCATTTGCAAACAAAACAATTTATTTTAATTTTATATGGATGATTTGCAGCATTGTGTGGTTTACATAAGTGATAATGTGTAGGCCATATCATAGAGGGAGGTGGGGGGTTTAATAATGCTAGCTCCTTGATTTTATTTTTGCTCTAGCATCAGATGATGTAGCTGGGACATATAGTCACAATATATTGATATTGCCATGCCAAAGCTAGACTCTGACATAAGTTTGTTCTCGCTGGTTCTTGATGGGAGATATAATTGCCCATACACAAAAATTTAATAGTACAGTATCTTATGGCATAGGACTACTAGGACATAATACTATAGTTGAAGAGCAATTACTGACTGGATAATTGGTTTTATGGTGGCGTCTAATTGACAGCTTTTTGCTTGATTAGCATAGTGTTTAACTGGAATATCAATGCCATTACACAAAATAAAAAACAGATATTATGTTAGCTTAACTAAGTATTTAAGAACCATTTAATTGATAAAGACCTTATAAAATCATATGCCACTTATATTTCTTTTTCATTTTTCAACACGTTTCACAAAATATACTTTAACTGTGTGACGTGCAATGATCAACAAAACAAAATGACAGTGTGAGCACTTAATTGGATAAAAAGATATTGTAATTAGCACTAATCTGCAATTGCATTTATATAAATATGTGTAAAATAAATATGTTTCAGGGTAAAGTTCAAAATTGCAGGTAGTAAATCAGGTTACCAGACTGATAAGGACTTGAACCTGGGATCCTCGGTTACGATACCATTCCCAACTGAGCTACGGGACATAGGGACTTGAACCTGGGTTACGATACCATTCCCAACTGAGCTACGGGACATAGGGACTTGAACCTGGGACCTCAGTTACAATTCCGAACTGAGCCAAGTGGCCACTTGCTCATTTTGTCCCCGTTTAGTGAGGTCCCGGCTTTATACTGTGACATATTACAGACAAATCTTTTATAACCATGGAAGTTTTTACTGATTTCAATCTTTATGGACACTTAATGCCTTTTAAAAACATATTATTTGTTGTCTGGAAATATCTTTAAGATGCCCCAGACCTTTTGAAAGGCTTCTTGATAATAATTTTCATTTTATGTAACTAAGGTAAATAACAAACCTATATAGATATTGCATACTTTATTAAAGGTTCAACCAATGTTTCTGATTGGGTGCGTGACAGTGAGTCAAGGCCAAAAAAGGTCTGAGTACATGTAGAAAAAACTGTTAAAACGTTCTTCTCAGAAACCCAAATAGTTAGAGCTTAGATATTTGATGTGGTCATGACTAGAAGATAACTGTTATTGACTTTTTAGGGTCAGTTGGTCAAATGTCAAGGTCATTTTGATCTTGACCACTAAAAAGCTTGTCCAACCAATAGCTAGTCTTCAAGATGTTTTAGACCCGTAACGGTACTAACATTGTCATGGAACTGTGTCTTGACAAGTAAATACATTGAGGACAGTTGGTTTAAGGTCAAGTTCATTGTGTACTTGATCACTAAATCTTATGTGTGATCAATAACTAGAGAGGGCTTTAGCATGCAGTCCTTAGATTTGGTACGGAGGTTAGGTATGAAATAGATGATCCTTATTAATGTTGAACGAAATTTAGCCGCAGACAGAATCGCCGAGTAGTGTTAAAACTAGTCATGAGACTTTAACAAACCGTAGAAGTAACAATAACAAATATTGTGGATATTGTATGATTGAAACAAACCCTAAATATTCATTTGACGTTGTCTTGAACGTTTTTAGAGTTAAACTGTGACAAACTAAATGGAATCTAAATGCTCAAACGACTGAACCACACGTGGGTCAAGTTAGGAAAAACCACCAATTTTTATTCTTTATAAGGAAAAAGTTTTGTCCCTATGATGCCAAGGGGGGTGGTATAATATTTTTTGAGGAATTTTAAGGTTAATGAAGAAAAATTTTCAAAACGAAAGACTGAAAATGGTGCCTGTGTTCCTCCCTTTAAAAAGACAGGGGAAATAAATATTTGGGTTTTTATATTTTAAAAAGGTTGCAATAATCTCAATTTTTGAATTATGAATAATCCATTATAATTAAAGTGGTGTTACATTTAAGATTGAGAGCTCAAATGCCTACAGGACCTGTGTGATTCTATGCCTGATTGGGAAATCCCCCCCTTTCAGGCTACTTACTACAGTATTTGGATACATAGTTTTGTTCTTTGACATTTTCATAGTAAAAGAATTTGTTTAACAAGGAATTTTTGGGTAATATTTGGTGCTAGAAAAAATTGTTTGATTAAGCTGAAAAATATAAATACTTGTCCAGCTTTCCTTGCATTTACAGGAATGGAATATGTCCTATTCTGTTTGTAAATAATGTAAATTCAGACATTACAATTTGAATACTTCTTATATGGCAAATTTCTCACAATCTACACATGAAGCATTTTAAGGCATAATATCTCATAGTTATTTGACATGATTGTCTACTTAGGATTACAACAAATAAATTGAATATGAGAAAATAATCAAAAATATTTCAAAATACTGAAATAGACTGTTAAGTCGTTTGTTACCATAGAAACAGAAACAATTAATAACATTATAATTGTAAACTAGTATCTTTGATTATTAGTAATGCAAATCTCTCATGTGAAGTGAAAACTGGGGTAATTTCCAGTATAATTGTAACTATAAATAGCCTCTACTGGAAAAGAAAGGTGATAAGTCCATGTAATGGCGGCCATTTTAAAAAATGGTTGCCATGGTAACCATCTTGGCATATATAAAATGGGTCCCATGCCCAAAATGTTTCTTTTGCCTTTATAAACATATGTGCCAAGTTTCATGCTTTTCCCATTTTCTGAAGTATTTTAGCATATTTTGTTACAAATTGACTGGACTAAAAGGACAAAAGTCTGACAGAAAAATTTACAAAAATTATGTCCCTCTTTAGCTCACCTGTCACAAAGTGACAAGGTAAGCTTTTGTGATCACATTTCATCCGGCATCCGTCCGACCAGCATCCGTCCGTAAACTTTTACTTTAAGCGACATCGTCTCATAAACCATGAAGTCAGTTTCATCCAAACTTCACAGGAATGATGGTGGTCACCTTTAAAAATTGTTTAAAGAATTTAATTCCATGTAGAACTTTGGTTGCCATGGTAACTGAAAGAAAAAACTTAATATATTACTAATAATATCTTCTTTTAAAAAACCCAAAGAGCTAGAGCTTAGATATTTCGCATGAAACATCTTCTAGTAAGTGTCTACCAAGTTTGTTCAAATAAAAGCCCTAGGGTCAAAATTGGCCAAACTCCAGGCGGGGGTCATTGATATTCCTTATATGTATATAGAAAAAACTAAAAATATCTTCTTTTAAAAAACACAAATAGCTAGAGCTAAGATATTAAGCATAAAGCATCTTCTAGTGAGTGTTTACCAAGTTTGTTCAGATAAAAGCCCTGGGGTCAAAATTGGCTCTGCCCCGGGTGTTATAGGTTTTCTTTATAATTGTATATAGTAAAAACTTAAAATATTCTTTTAAAAAACCCAAAGAGCTAGAGCTTAGATATTAGGCGTGAAACATCTTCTAATAGGTGTCTACGAAGTTTGTACAAATAAAAGCCCTGGGGTCAAAATTGGCACGCTTGGGGATCATTGATTTTCCTTATAATGTATAAAAAAATCTTCTTTTAAAAAACCCAAGGCGCTAGGGTGTAGATTAATCATGAAACATCTTCTAGTGAATGTCTACCAAGTTTGTTCAAATAAAAGCCCTGGTGTCAAAATTGGCCCTGCCCCAGGTGATTTTCCTTATATGTATATACATGTAGTAAAAACTTAAAAAAATCTTCTTTTAAAAAAACCCAAAGAGCTAGAGTTTAGGTACCAAGCATGAAATATCTTCTAGTGAGTGTGTACTTAAAGGTTGTTAAAATAAAATCCCTGGGGTCAAAATTGGCCCTGCCCGTGAGGGAGGGATCATTGTTTTTTGTTCCTATATGTGTATAGTAAAAAATTAAAAAATCTTCTTTTAAAATCCCCAATGCACGAGAGCTTAGATATTTATCATGAAACATCTTCTAATGGGTGTTTACCAAAATTGTTCAAGTAAAAGCCCTTGGGTTAAAATTGGCCCTACCCCAGGGGCCTACATACAGGTGAGCGATTTCAGGGCCATTATGGCCCTCTTGTTGAAAGTTAATTTTGTAATTTTCATATTATAAATCTGACTAAAACATGTTTCTCAGCAGAATGCAAACTGGAAGAAAGTAAATTGGTGGAAAATTCTATAATCATTTTTATCTAGACCCTTCATAATAAATATTTTCAAAGCTTATTTGACTGTAAAGGAATAATTTGTGTTGCATTTATCTTCAGAGTTTGATGGAATATGGCCGGGAGTTCCGAGAAATTTATCAAGTAGGGGAGTGAAGATTGGTAAGGATGATATGGCAGCAAATTTCACGTGGAACGCACCTTATGACGGTATGTTATTAAATAAATCCCTAAAGAATACCCCCATAGCAATTTCATTACACTTGTTCACATTCTTTTATAAAAGCATTATGAATCTTCTTAATTTACATTTTATATGACAATCCCTCATTATTTTGGCTTTGTGAATTGGCGTATAAATTAATTTAAATGATATGACAACTAGAAATGTGTCATCATGCCACGGATGCCCCCGCATGCAGACAAAATTTCAGATGGTGCATTAATTATTTTTTTCATTTTAAGTTCAAAGCCCTTAAAACTTTTCAATGTTAAGACTAACCATTTTCATACAATGTTCAAGGCACTGAAATAATTCAGTCTTAACCTTTTAAAAATAGCATATTGCATATTTGTAGCCAAAATAATGGCTAAAAGTATGAGTGCTGAAACTGAAAGTTCAAAATTTTTCCAATATTCAGGAAAGATAAGTTTGTCTATAATCATTGAACCACGACCAAATTCAAACTTAAACTGCTTATTCCTTAGATGTATCTATATTATTTTCAAAAGAAAGGGACATAACTCTGCCAAAAATCATCAAACCATGACCAAATTCCAACTTGACCTGCCCATTCCTTTGACATATCCATATGTCAAATTTAAGTTGAATATGTAACACTGTTGGGTAAATAATGAACAGAAACTGTAAATTTCATATAATTTTCAAAGTGAAAGGGGCATTACTCTACCAAAAATCATTGAACCATGACCAAATTCGAACTTGGCCTGGGCATTCCAAAATCATATCCATATGTCAAATTTGAGTTGAATGTGTTGTACCATTGGGGAGATAATAAACGGAAACTGAAAATTTCATATTATTTTCAAAGTAAAAGGGGGCATAACTCTGCCAAAAATCATCGAACCATGACCAAATTTGAACTTGACCTGTATTTTTTCATGACATATCCATATGTCAGTTGAGTTGAATGTGTTGTACCATTTGGGGAGATAATGAACGGAAACTGAAAATTTTATATTATTTTCAAAGTAAAAGGGGCATAACTCTGCCAAAAATCATCGAACATCATGACCAAAATTTGAACTTGACCTGTATTTTCTCATGACATATCCATATGTCAAGTTTGAGTTGAATGTGTTGTACGTTGGGGAGATAATGAACGGAAACTGAAATTTCATATTATTTTCAAAGTAAAAGGGGCATAACTCTGCCAAAAATCATCGAACCATGACCAAATTCGAACTTGACCTGTATTTTCTCATGACATATCCATATGTCAAATTTGAGTTGAATGTGTGCCACCGTTCCTAAGATAATGAACGGAAACTGATGATGACGGAATGACAGAATGACGGAAGGACGGAAGGACGGAATGACGGAACAGGGTAACACTATATGCCCCGGCCATTACATGGCGGGGGCATAATAAACCTTGTTACAATTGATAATACCCACACAAACAAAGTTTAGGGGGGTGTACACAGGAGTCAGCTTGTCGGTCAGTCAGTCTTACGGTCGGTCTCCTTCATGGTTTTCGGACAATAACTTTAGTTTGGAATGAGGTATTGTAATCAAACCTGGTATATAGCAACTTTATGTGATGACCCAGTTGGTATTGCTTTTGGACCCCCCCCAGGGCCAAGGTCAAGGTCACTGTTACTAAAAATAGAAAAATGGTTTTCGGACAATAACTAGAGTTTGGTATGAGATATTGTAATCAAACTTGGTATATAGCATGTTTATTTAAAGACCCTGGTTGGTATTTCTTTTGGACCACCTTGGGCCAAGATCAAGATCAATGTTACTAAAAAATAGAAAAATAGTTTCTGGTCAAAAACTAGAGTTTGGTATGAGATATTGTAATCAAACTTTGTATATATCAAGCTAAGTATGTGAAGACCTTGGTTGGTATTACTTTGGACCCTTTGGGCCAAGGTCAAGGTCACTGTTACTAAAATATAGAAAAATGGATTCCAGTCAATAATTAGAGTTTGAACTTACAGCGTTAAGGGGGTAAATGATCACCCCTAACAGTTGTTACACAAAAATGGGCATAAATATAGTCGTCCAAATGAACAGAATTATCTTGAGCAGATTCTAAGAGATTTTGTTTTTGGTCAGATACTGGCTTTATATTTTATATAGTAAACAGGTGCTGGATAGTTATTTTATTCTTGATGATCAATGGGTGATTATTTATGATCATCAAGAACAAAATAACTATCCTGTGAGCACCCGTTTACTATATAAAATATATACAAGGTATATATTGTTCTTGATGATCAATGGGTGCTTATTTTATGATAATTTGACTATTTTTTGCATGGCAAATGTGCTGGACGCCTGTAGATAATGTGAGCAGAGATAATACATAAAATAACACAACCTATCATTAAAGATGTTATATATTAAAGGTGGCACATACTTAAATCTTAGGTCATTATGTTGACAGTGAAACTCCTTGACACAATTTTATTAGGATAAGAATTTAACGGTGAAGTACTGATGTTGTACTTATAAAAAGGGCTCCATAAAACTGTTATAAACACTGGCTCCATAAAACATAAATTTGAGATTAATTTTTTAATCTTACAAATTTTAAGTTAACTCAAAATGATTGTCAGTTCATAAGGAAAAGATGACTTTGACCTCTATGATTCTTTAATCTTCTTACCGGCTCACTTCTGGCTCTCCTTGGGGCTCATATTTTAATTACTGCAAATTCTAATTTACAGTTTTAAATTGTTATCTGTTAACCATGTGAATTGAACCTTTGAAATTTTTTTTTCATTTCAAAGATTTATCTTGCAATTTTATTTTTCAAAAGCAGTTGCGATTTCTTAGAATTGTCATCACAGGTCATTAAAAGACCAATAAAAGCAAAATAATTTCACCAGAGAAGAAGTTTGATTGGTTGTATTTTATACTTTTTCTAATTAATATCACAATTATCACACACCTAATTTTTATATTTTCTGTGATTTCATTGCAAAGTAAAGTGCTTTAATTTGCTTCAAGTTTCACATTTTCTATAAAATTTAAAATCGAAGGATTTTTTTTTCTTGTCAATTTATAATGCTCAATTTTAATGGAACACTGGCTATGGTTTTTTTGCCTTAATCATCAGTTTTTAATTTATCATCAAATCTGTTGTTTTAGAGTCATTTATAAACTGTTTCATGTTTCAACATCTCATACTATTTAAATATCAGTATGAAGAAATATGAGAGTTAACAAGATTCTTCTACATTTCTATAGAAACAAATTTTGAGTTATGTGACCTTTTTAATACTTAATACAGTTTAAAGGTTTCTATGTATGGCAATATAGGTAAATGGAAGTAACATGTCATTTCATAAAGTACATCAATTGCTGTACAAGTACATATTAATATATCTGTTGGCTAACAGTTTGCAGTCTTTGTTAATAACAAGGGAGGTAATAAATTTTTGTGTACTTTGATTCAATAGCAATGTAAAAACTTGCAGACTGAAATGTTTTATTTTTTCAGTTCTTTGTCCATTGTGTAATTATGTTTAATGAAGAAGAAGATTTTCATTTTTATACAGGACTGATTTTGAGAATTTGGCCCTCTATAAGATGCTAGAGGCATATTTTGTAGTACAAGTGGTATCTTGGTATATCTTGGTATATTTTACATGTTAAGGGTATGCTGAATCTGATAAAGATGGATACCAAGCTGAAAATCTTGATCTTGACTACTGAAATGGCCAATTAAAGTTACTTCTAAAATGTTTGCCAAATTTTTTTATCATGATATATGTAAAAGTTCGTTGACACCTTGTTTTAATGTAAACTGATGGCAAACATAATGAACAGCATGATCTAGCTAGCATTTATCACCCATTATTTCTCTTTGAGGCATGATTAAAACCATTCTATAAATACATGTTCCATTGAGAAAATCTTAACAATGGAATTAATCACACCTTTTGAGTCCAGATGAAGACAAGTTTTTTTTTTACTTCTTACTGGATAGACTTTTAGGAGCAACTATACAAATTGAAAGATATTATGTTACTTTATTTCTTTAAAATTTTAAATAAGTATGCAAAAAGAATATTAATTAATATATTATGAAACATTGAATTTAGATCATAATGTCGTGATGTCAGTATATGGTGCACCCCACCCACTGTGTCTGAAGGACAAAAATGATAATGCAATATGACAATGTATTGTACAATATCATTCTCACTGTAGAAAACAATGTAACAGCTAGAATGGCTTAAAAATCTGCCGGTTTTAACATCTGCTGTATCATGGTCTCCAGCAGATATAGCAGAAATAAAGTTCCCACAAAAATAAGCACTTATACAGTATTTTCTTGACGAAGTTTAAATGTTGAAAGCTTAGAAAAGCATTAATTTTGTTTTTGTTAAACTGATTTATTTTATACAAAAAAGATATGGTAAGTTTGAGCATGTCACCATGGATGTGCATTTTAATCATGTAATATAACATTTTTATTCCAGCTTCATATAGGACACTGAATGGCTTCTTACTCACAGTGAACATAGCGGAGGATTATATTATTCAAAGCATGAGGTATACCCTACAGCAGCTGCCTATATGTTTCTTTGCCAACCTGTCGGGAACAAACTGGGATATGGTTCCGAAACCCCATGTAAGTAACATTATCATTTGCTTTTGTATAATTATGAAACAAAAAGCTAAGGTCTGATTGGTAAATGTTGAAACTGTCCAGCTCTAGACATAAATGAGCCGTGTCGTGACAAAACCAACATAGTGTGTTTGCGACCAGCATGGATCCAGACCAGCCTGCGCATCTGCGCAGTCTGATCAGGATCCATGCTGTTGGCTTTCAGTTTCTGTACTTGTAATACGGTTGGTAAGCGAACAGCATGTATCCTGATCAGACTGCACGGATGCGCAGGCTGGTCTGGATCCATGCTGATTGCAAACGCACAATGTTGGTTTTGTCGTGATGGGGCTCAAATAATGTTTAAAAGTGAAGCTGAGGTCTCCCTCCAACAGTAATTGGAGCTGGATAGTGGTTATATAACCAGCTGAATTTTGGTTATATAACTTTAACCAATTTAGTTCCCTCAGTGAGTGTTAGACTATTTGAACAGAAACTATAATGTGTCTTCAAACCCAAACAAAAAGATAAGGTATGTTTATTATGACATTTTATATGTGATTGGCATAAGTTATTCTTAATTGTTCCTTTATAATTTATATGCTTGAATGAAAAAAAACAGGACTGTTTAATTATACAATCGGTTGCCCATATCATCTGCATAAATAGATAAGTGTTACTTTATACAAAATAAACATTCACTACCTTGAAATGTGGTGCATGTACAAGGTCTCTAGGTCAAAGGTCAAGGTCACACTTAGATGTCGAGGGAAAATGCTTTTCTGGAGCAAAAGGAGAAAATGGACCTAAGCAAAAAAGGTTATTTACCAATGTGATGTCTGACAACAATCAGCTCCTATAGATAACATTACACATTAGGATCTGAAGGTCACCAATAGGTTGTCACCTTGTGATCATTCAAACAGCCAATCATTGGCAAGCTTTCACTCACAAGTTTTACAATGCAAGGTCCCTTCCCCAGAACTTCAGAAATAACTCACTTAAATTTTTGATTTATCTTCAAAGTCTTATTTAAGACAACAAGATCCATTAATTTTTTTAATGTAATTAGGGGCAATTAAGTGGTTTTGGATAGCAACCTTAACCAGTTAGTCATGGAGGTCCCTATCTCATAGCTAAAAGACATATTACATGTTCTTTTATTCAAAAACATCACTTTGAGAAGCTATCACAAATATAATTAAGGATTGCAAATCTAAAATGATGCAGTGACATGATTTTCTGTACATTTAAAGTTATGAAAAAAAATGTTGGGGATTTGATCTTGTCAACAAAATTTGAGACACCGAAGAAAGGTGAAATGCCATTTTAAAGATCATATCCATCCTAATTAATTAAATGACAATTTCTAGACTCATTCATGGTATTAAGCTATTAGCCTCAGTCTGTATTGACATATTTATGTCTTCAATAAAGATAAAGTGTAGGAGTCAAATAGGATTTATGGACATTAAGGAAAGCATTATGACAACAAATATGTCTACAACACACTACTTTTCTAAAAATAAACGTTACATAACTTAATTGAATTATATTATGCATGTATATTGTCTAATCCCTGCAGAGCAGCCCTCTATAAAACAATAACCTCTTAATATAACATAGAATTGTAGCCACCATTTCCCTGCATGATCGTAAGAGGTGACTAAATAAGTTTGAATTAGTGGACTAAGCTCCAGCATGTGAGGTGGTTTTGACCTCTTCTGTTGCTTTAAGTTTGTAACACCCTAGGTCAGCCAAAATCATCTTTCCTCTTCCGGCGCCTTAATATGATCTAAATTGTGTTGGTGCGCCATAAAACCAAACAACAACAGTACCAGATTTACCCTAAGATCTGGCGCTTCTTATCTCTAAGTTACAAGCAAAATCATTAGCTGCCTAAGGGTGTTGCAATGCAGAGGTTGTCTCAGTGACTCTCAGCTGTTCAAGAGAATGTTACATATTATCACCTTAGTGCAGTAACAGGTTAAGTCCATCTAAAGTTAATAGGAGTTTTACTTTTACTGCATTTAGGTGACACTGTTAAAATTACATGCCTCTAAATCTTTTTAATGGATTTATTATGATAAATATGACAATGATGCTGTATTACTCTGGCAGTACGTGCAATTGTACAACCACACCTTGGCAGCATTCTTGGTTAGTGGTGGCCTTGTGGTTAAGGTGTTTGCCTCTCAACTTGTGGTTCATTGGTTCGAGCCCTTTGAATCAGGACATGACCATGTCTTCATAATTATGTGATTCATTAGGAAGTAGACTTGAAAGTGATATCATATATATCATATATTTTATATTAAGTTGAAAGAACTTGTTTTGCAATCGAGCTTAAATGAATATGTTTAAACTGAACCAGCATTCTTGGAAGCCATGGAATTGCCGTGAGGACGTGCCCCTTGTGTGACAGGGATAGTACAAAAGATTTTTGATAAAATTATGTTACCATAATTTGACAGATAATATGTCTTTTATTTAAATTTTCGCTGTAGATTCGAGCCGCACAGGTGTAGTCAGATTATACATATGAGAAAGCTATATATCCAGCTCGCTTACTAAACATCGGTGATTCTACTCAGGTTCTTGTTTGTGACTGAAAAATATGTAACCTGATGTCTTCCTCCACCATTTAAGCTGGAAAATTGCCATATGACCTAGTATATACTAAAGCTAAAACCCAACCAAAAAAGTAAACAACCCTATCATTTCTCATAACAGTTTGGGTAATATATTATATACTTACAACCATTTATTAATAACTGGGTCATATAACATGTCCATAATCTTTATTATAATTTATAGTTTGTAAACTTAAACAGTAATGAAAATTGAATAAGAATTTAATTTCCTTGAACTTTTACAATTCTCAAACTGAATAGGGCTGGGGCGAGTATCCAAGTACTCGGAAAATCACGATTCAAAAAGGAAAATCGAGTATGAATATTCATCAGTCCGGAGATTGTCGATTGCGATCTTATTTGTTTATATACATTTACTGTTTTTCACACTCTAAAAGTAAAAAAAAACAAAAAACAATTTGATAATGAATTTTGCGACTTTTGATACATACATTTTCCGATGGTGGTACAACAAACTTGTTGTAAGATACCCATGCAAGGAATAAAAACTTAAACCTAGTTCATAGTTCATAGTTTAAAGAAAGAAAAATATGTTTTCAGAACTTATGTTTATGATTTTATGGGTGTCTTGATAACAAAAGATTCGTGGTTCAATTTGTGAATCCAAAGTGCTGAATCGTGGATTGGATCGGATCGTCACTTATCCAACGATCCACACCCCTAAAACTGAATGTAACCGGTAAAAGATGCAGGCCCACCTGTGCATTCTGCTAGGATCTGTATGGTTGGCTGACCTACTTTTCATTTTCATCTTGCTTTAAATAACTTCAAAATTGATAAAGGACAGTTCTTAGAATTGAAGCTGGACAATTCAACAATTCAACAGGTTATTATAGAACAGTTAAGTGCTGAAGATAGATATGCTTTGCTGATTTAACAGTAATTGAAGGAAGGGATACAAGACATATTATTACCAGTTAATATGAATTGTCTAGTCACTAATTGAGAGTTCTGTTTTATGACATATCTTATTTTCAGATTATGTAAATATATAAGAGATTTATAGACAGTGATCTACTTAAGATATCCACATAACTGCATCCTAACATGAATGGATGCTATTAATGTAGACCAGAAATATCTTTTGTATTTGAATAAAATAGGCTGTCTTTGCAATTGTATACATTATGCATAGGTTCAGACTGAATGTTTTAGAGTCGTTTTTAGCTCGACTATTCGCAGAATAATGGAGCTAATGCAGTCATCCATTTGTTGGCGTCCCTGTGGTTATTAGTTTTTGCGTGTAAGCTGGTATCTCTATAACTACTGAAGGAAACTTCACACACTTGTTCTCTGTGATTATCTAACATGATTGGCACAAGTCCCATAACTGTGATTTGCTTAATTGCATAAGTATGCCCTTTTTCGACTTAGAAATTCTTGGTTAAGTTTTTGCTTGTAAGCAAGTATCTCCATAACTACTGAAGGATTTGTGTCTTTTTTTTTGGACAATTTTATGCATTCATAATAATAAAGCAGTGATTTACTCAATAAAACATTTTAATAACAAGCCATTGTACTTTTCTGACAATTTTATAATTATATTCATATAGGTAAACATTATTATACTCAAAGAAACACCCTTGTGACAACTTTTTCGAAAAGTCGAGCGTTGCTGTCCTCAAATAGTTCTTGTTTACATTGCTGTATGTTACTTACTTCATCAAATAGTTATTGCTCTTTACCCTCAAATAAAGGCACATAAAATTATGTGAGTAAGAAATGTCAATTTATTAACAATTAGGGAAAAAAAAGAAAAAGAAAAAACAGTGAAAATTGTGAAATGTCTTATTAAATAGTTTGTATATCAGTCTTTTTCAGCAGTGAATAGTTCAGTTCCTTAATCTGCTGAATTTCTTATAAAGGAAATTGACCAATTCTTTCATTTTTGGTAATATATTTTTTTACCACATACGTACCCGTCCCACTTTGCGACTTTGTTAAAACAATATTGCACAGCTGTGCATATAGTTTAGTTTAGTTTAGTTTAGTGTAGTTTATACTATATTATTTTAGTTCAATTGTTTTGGATTGAAACACTCTCAAATCCTTTCCTGGAACCAACAAGTACTAAGCAATGAGTGTAAACTTTCTTGCTCATGGAAACAACAATTTTTTTTTACTGAGCTTGAACCCATGCAGCAAGAAATCCTAAGATTACTAGTCTGATGCGTTAACCACTCGGTCACGCTGCTACTGCATGTAATTTTGACATGATGTTATTTGCATTATACAAACATAGTGTACTGGGCAGGAACCAGTTTCCGGACAGAATTCGAGTTTTTTTAATTGTCTATTTTTTAATAATAAACATGCATTAATAAAACTAACATACCAAAAACCTGAGCTCTAACTACGTCCGATAACACA